ATTGATTATTTCCGAATCATATAATATTTTATTGTACAGTTACGATTTCCATTGAAATCAATCTCATACAGAGTGTATGAAATGAATACTGAGTTCAGTATTGATGATTTCTGAAACATATGTATTTTATTGTACAGTATGTACAATATTACGATTAGCATTGGGAACAATGTCATACAGGGTGTTTGACATGGAGTCTGAATTGAGTATTGATGATTTCCGACACATATGTTATTTTATTGTGCAGTGGCTACAACAATACGATATGTATTGAGATCAATACAATCACCAAGAACGAGATGAATTTGAGATCCAAAAGCAGCACTAGATCTCAATTCCAGATCTCCAGGTTCGAAGTCATAGATGGATTCCAATCTGGAAGGAAAAAATCGGTTTCAATCCTGAAGGCTACATTTTCTGGTCTATATTTTCTGGCATGGAGGCAGAGACAAAGTTCGGCTCTCAAGGCATTGATGCACTCAAATCAAAAAAGTAGCCACCGATGAGTTTGCGTATTCTAGTCCAAGGACGATAAACCTCACTCGAAAGCAGTGATGGATCCCGATCTCAAAAGCAGAGATGTATTTCAACTCCAACGAGGAGATAGAATTAAATCCGAATGAAACACATGGATTCCTATCCTAGAGGCAGAAATGGATTCCAACCTCATAGAAAGGTTCAATAAGCAGTGATAAGTTTTGTTTGACGAGAGTAGATGTCTTATGCAGATCATTAAGAGTGATTTACTCTATCGATTGTACCTGATTTCAGTAGAGATGATGAGTTTGAAATCAATAGATTAGGGAGTCAGGACTCTAGTGGCACTAGCAACCATCGATTGCTGATGATGTTAAAATCTATGATAGGTCTAAACCCCAATTGCAGTGATGGAGTTTACTTCCAGATTCACAGTTCTGAATGGGAATAGAGTGAAGTTTCAATATACTTGGATTGGTCAGCGAAATATTTCACCCATATGGGTAACCAGGGTTCTCTACTTCAAAGATGACAATAGAATTTAACTTCAATTGCAAATATGTGTTTTATCCCCAGCTGAAATCTAACAATCTTTCGAAAACATACTTCGGAGAATGTATAAATACCTCAGTATTCGTTTGGTAAAATCAGAAACCATGTCAACGTCTGGTTATGTAGCACCCTTCCTCACACAAGAATCAACAGGTTGCAGGTCAATATCATCAGGAATGCGGACCAGGGACAGTTTGCTGAGTATTTTTTCATGAGGATAGTCTTATGGGCACTTCACTATCAGCTTGAACGTTGGTGAGCGCCTTGGCTATCCAAGAACAGCTCATTGTTTCTGTGTGAGAAGATTTCAACCATTGAAGAATCATTTCTACTTGAGCAAGTACTGTATAGCGAACTACGTGGAGCGATTTTGTAAACAGAGCGGAAATCGTTCTCTAACTAGTAGAACGTTTTATTTGGAAGTGGTCATTATCGCCATGGAGAACCATATGATGATCAAAGAGCATGAGTCGTTGACTAGTGACTTGCTGGCCTGGATCGGCAGTACCATTGAAGCTCTTGGGAGGCATGGGAGCGGTTGGAGAAGGCCGAGCACGAGAAAGAGCTAGCAGTCAGAGGAGATCTGATTCTACGAAAGAAAATCGAACAATTAGCAACCAAATTCAACAGGAAGGCTAGCATGCTAGAGATTTGGTTGAGCGGAAACCATAGTCTCGTGTTCCAAGACAATTTTGGAAAGGACTTGGCCGCAGACGATCCCGTGGCTAATGAACCCGAAACCCGTCTGCAAATGTGCTGTTCCAAAGTTGAAGGTCGACTATTTCAGTTGTATTGCCAATTGCATATGCAGGAAATTTCCTGTGGAGATTTCTGCACTGACGCCTGTCGGATATAATCCAACGCCCTTCGTTGTATTAGCCAGGGAAGTAGATGTTTTCTGATGGGCGTCAGTCTATTTAATCTACTGTGTAGGTATATTCGAAACTGGCTTAAACGTCTGAAGTTCTTTTCTTTAGATTTGTTTCCTGCCAGTCTTCAAGCATAGCCCACTGATCAATAAGAAATACTGTATTCAGAGTGACATCATTTAATTCATCGTATTCTTTTCAGCAAACTGTATTATTTGATACCAATATCAGGAGATGGCGAGTTCGACATCTTGGGCTATCCGTCATATTGAATTCAGAGCAAGTGATTGTTTTCTGCATTCTCTTCAGCAGAGCCTTATATTTGTTATCATCTATTGATAGCCATATCATGAATGATCAAATTTATAGCTTCTAAAATGAACACCAAAGCATCTATTCTGTGCAGCCCATTTGATACCTCAATAGAGCAGCCCCCCAACTTTATTTTTTGTCCCTGACGACCTCTCCAAAGCTGCCGAAGGATAAATTAACTTGTTTATTCATCTTCGACCACAGTGAAGCCTCCGATACTCTTGACTTCGACATCCTGGGCGATAAACTCAGTTTCTTAGGTTTTTCTGTGAATGTTCTGTCAGAGATTCTACCCGTGATCAAGGGTAATTCCAGAAGATCCATTCTCGGTCCTTAACTTTTCAATATGTATGTTTGTGACCTCGGTGACAGTCTGTGAAAAAATGCAACTTTACCTAATGTTTCAAAAATACAATCATATTCCACCAAGGAATTAGGTTGGTTGCAATTAGACAAATTGAGAACATTGAACCTACTTGAACACCGAAATGCCACACAATATAATGGACAAATTGAAGGTTTTCTCGGATACTTTTTCACAAGGAACAGGTTGATTCTGGTCATTCTCTAACACAAATATTCTGTCTTCACTCGGCAAATCTTGGTTCAACAAAGATTGCAAAGAAGCTGTCGCCTTCAAAATGTTCACCTAGTGGCAGTGGTGCAAAAGTACCAGTGCAAAAAACCGGACTAGGTTTCTTAATGTTCGCAACAGCTGCAAAATTAGAATAAATGAAAGTGAATAACTTCACAATTGGATAAACTTCTCACCAATCCCAAGGGGTCTAGATCCTTCTGGTCGGTAGCTGAAGCTGTTAATCTTTAGCTCTCCAGTTTCCTGAAAGGAAGTTTTCTGCAAATGGCCGTCGATGGATATCTTTCAAATAATTTTGCCATCAACGCTAGTGTTCTCAAAGGATCCATATTGTTTTCAATTTTTTCAATTGTATATTAACGACTCATTGGAAAAAATCAAGAATCCTATATAAATATCGTTTTGCTCACGACAGTTCACTTGTCTCGTCATTCCATTTGGATTCCAGGACATCGGTTGCAGATGCACATCTTCACTGGCAGCAGGAGGTTGAATATCTCAATTAGGATCTAGAAGTGATTTCAAATGGGAGTGATAGTAACAAGTTCAATTAAATGCCACAAAAACCCAAGCATCGGCTTTCTAAAAAAAACACTAATCAATACAGTTTACTGTATGATTCTTTCATTGAATGTGTTGATTCCAACAAGAGTGGTACATATCAGAAATACGCGACAGACTGCTCATTGTTTTGAGGTTCAATTCAGTATACCTCGAACTTCACTGCTTAAAAACTTTCCCATTTGGAAAACGGCGTTTATGTGGATCTCAATGTGGAATCCAAATGGATTCAATTTCCAATGATTCAAATCCAATGTGAATCTTCGCACAGGTACTGCTATCAGTACCTTGGTACTAATAGCAGGCGATTTGGTAACCGAATAATAGTTTATTCTTCAGAACTATGGTACGTGGAGTACTTGAACCAAAATCAAAAATCATCTTGTACAAAAATCTTGTCATACCACACTTGAAACTCATTATTCTCATATGGGGCGAGGTATCAAGAACGTACCTTGATGCATAGGAAGTATCCCAAAGAAGATTCTTGAAAATCATCCTGAATAAAAATAGTAGATTCTCCAGTGATCAAGTATATAACGAGACGAAAACGTATGATTTGAGACAGATATATTTCAAACAGCTGAATATTGCAGTATTCCAAATAAAATCGACCTTCTCAGACCTATCAGAGGAAAAAACAGACTTGTCCAACCGCTAGGAATTCACCAAATAATTGAAAAATAACATCTTACAACAAAATCAATACACAAGTATAAATGATGTTTCTATGTACCTCTGTTTCAAAAGTTCTGCTCGACTGTTTATTCATTTTATAAAGTTTCAGTTTGGATCTAATTACAACTTCTCCATCAAATATAATAAGTAAAAACTGATTGGATTTTTCAATACTGTTTAATTTATGATTGAGATATTTCAACATGTCATTGTGAAAATGAAGTATTTCATTAATCACTATCATTAATGTGGTTATTGGTATCTGTCATATTTATGTTATCACACACAAGTCACTTCTGTAACTTTTGTGATATTGCCTGTTTGTTCAACTCTATTCTTTATTATATAAAACCTATGTATATTATGACGTATCTGTTAATGAACATTATCATTATTATTATTATTATATATTAGGGTTGACACTTCTTCCATTGAACTCTATATTTTTTGTATATTTTCTGTTTGTGGTTGTTAGATTGGGTGAATAAGACGTTTTATCATAGACATCATTAATATAAAATCAGGGAATTGCCATCTTGAGCGATCCGCCATATTGGATTAGGAATGACTTCGTTCATCTAGTAATGCCTTGTCATAAAAACAAAATGTGTATGCAAAATTTCAGCTCAATCTATTATGAACGAAATGCATGTTTTGACCCCAACTGACACAACTAAATTTTCCGATTTCGAAACTAAAACGGACGAAAAAAAAATATAAAAGTTTTGATAAGTTTTAAGTAAACATGGAAAAAAAAATATATTGGAAGTGGTGACATTTTTACCCAAAAATGAAGAGTATCCCTAATATTATTACACTGAACAAAATCGATTTCCCAAGAATAATAATCATCGATCAATCACGAAAAATCAATGGGCAAGCATCGCCATAGAGGTGACTCAGTCGTTGAAGGCAATCGCCACAGTGGGGACTCAGTGGTTCAAAGCATACAGTGGCTTATTCGATCTAGCCTGCTCTAGTGTTAACACCTCTTGCGCACTACTTCTCTAGATACTTCTTCAAAAATGTCGAATGAATGGAATTTGTCAGATGATCAGCTGAAAATTTATCTCAGAAAACAACTCAGTGTCCATGAATTAGAAAAAATATTGGAGAGGAATGTGAAGATTTTTGAAAACCCGTAAGTTGATCTGAAAATAGTATTTGTTTTATGAATTTTCAAATTAACGATTATTACAGCAGCAGATATATATTCTGTACTTTTATGGGGACATTTCCAAAATATAATCTTTATTGTTATCGAGGATTGGAATGAACTCCCTTTGATAATACATTGATTTCATTGGGATAAACGAATCGTACCTATAGATAGTTGAATCAAAAATGAAGTAAAAACACATAATACCTCAATACCAAACTTGAAAATTCGAAATTCAAAAATAACTTTTTCCTTATTTGAAAAATAAATTTCGTATCCAAACTCGGTTACTTCAAAAAAATTTCAGATATAAGTGAGGGTGAAAAAATTAATGCAGCCGACTTCATATGATTATGTTCGGATACATTGATCTTCTGAGCATGTATGTAAATTTTTTGGTTGTCGAAGTAGATCAGTAATATGGATCAGTATATTCATTATCATTCGATTATGAAAAAGAGATACCTGAAAAAAGCTTTTTAGCTCTTTCTTCCAAAACAGTGATAATAGTTATTTCACGCTCATGAAGCAAAAACATAGTTTGAAAATGTTAGCCATAATTTTGGAACACACAACAGGCATATCTTGAAATCGATTGGAATGATTTCTGAGAGTAAAACTAACTAATTCACTTCATTGTATGATTTTCACAATAAAGGGTTTCATGTAAAACGCTTTTTTTGTTTTCTTCAACTAACTCAAACACTTTATTGTATGATTTTCACTATGAAGGGTTTTACAAAAACCGCGACACGTGTTTCGACACGTATATCTACAATAGCATTCTCGAACGTAATATAAAAATATTTTCTCCCTTGTTTTGCAGAAAATTTGAAACATTCGTAGTGGGTTGGCCTAAGTAGGTTAAGGTTCTATAACTTTTATTTGCATCTCTTCGAATTTTGTAAACTTCTTTCAAAGCTTGGCTGTATAACTTTAATGACAATATAGAATGTATCAGACTGCTATCGTAATCATTGTTGATGGTTATTTGTTTCATTATGTTCAGTACTCACTTACTTCACGTACTGCTACTTACTTTGTGCTGATACGGGTGGGTTGACAAAGTATGAGTGATAATATCTGTATGTGCTGGTTTATGATAAATTGAAAAATCATGTTCATTGTTAACTTTCGTTATTCTCGAGTTCAAAAAATTCATAGAGTCGTTCTTTTCCATCTCCATGGTGAATGTGATAGAAGGGTAGAGAGAATTGATGAAAATCAAGAACCTTGTCAATGGTCTGTTCGTTCCTGAGGAACATTCCAGGATATCTTCCACATATCTATACCAATACACGAAACTTCTTACCAGTGGGTTACTGTGTATTTTTCTCTCCAAATCGTCCATGAAAATCTCTGTCAGAATGGGATTGAGTGGGTTTCCCATTAGGAAACCTTTGCAGAATGAATGAAAAATGTCATTGAATTGGAAGTAATTCTGTGACAAACAAACCGTAAGCAAGTCTTATATTTTCTTTTTTTTTCACAACCGGATTGATAGACCTTCCGTCCAATAGATTATCTACATAAGTAATCATTTCATCCGGAGGAATACTGGGAAACAGATTCTTTACATCTAATGAAATCAATTTGGCATTATCCGGAAGTGTAATATCTTGAACTTCATTGATTGAATGGTATGAATTCTTCAATCTGAATTTTGATTTGAAATTGGTGTGGTTCTGAATAATTGCCATGAGTTTTTCCGATATTTCAACTGAAGGAGCTGTCACAAAGTAATTTACCGGTCTAATCGGGTAATCAACGAATAAAGTTTATGTGGTTGTAAGTTCATGAGTAACGATTTAAATTTTGTGTTTCATCCATGACACAATGAATATTTTTCAAAGTTTCCTTGACTTTTTTCTGATATAAATGAGTGGGATCGTTTCTGAGACTATCGTACATGACAGTATTTAGAAAGTCTATCTTCTCTACGTATTCTTCTTTGTTCATAGCTATGACCGTTTTGCCTTTATCAGCTCTCGTTAGTGTATATTAAATTAATTGGTATCAGTTTGTTTATATTTGTAATCGAATGTATTGTGTCTGTGTTTATAAATAACTTCTTTCTTCTCTATCGTACATCTCGTAAATCATAAACGTCCACTAATCATTCGATGTGAGGAGGGATGAGAAACTTCAGTTTATAATATTTAGAATATTACTGAGTGAAAAAAAACCATGGATAAACGGTTGGTCATTTGGATCAGGGTTTTTTCCATGAAGGGATCGAACATGTTGTAGAATTGGCCGCGGTGGTAGTGCGCCCGACTCATGATCGGACGGCCGTGTGTTCGATTCCCGTTTCGACCAGATATTTTTCTCGAGAGAATTTATCTGGTTGAAGCTGGAATGATTCTGCAACCGTGTTAGGAATTACAGAATTACACGCCAAAAGGTAAGACCTCGGTAGTCCTCAGCTCGCACAAGTTTCTCAACTTCTGAGAGTTGTCGTTCGCATGGGGGCGACAGCTGATTAACGAAAAAACAGAATAGATGAATTGAGTACACATTTCCAAACCATGCATTGATAATTTTAAAAAAACGTTCTTCTGGTTGCAAAATACGCTATTTTACTTTATTCAAAAACCACACATTTTGTCATTGTGAGATTCTGAAAACTATTAGGCGCCTTTGATTGTTGAAATATGCTTTAGTTGATCATAATTGAAGATGTACTACAGGTATATGAAAATTGTAGATGTTTTGGATGAGTTGATCGGGGGAGACCCTAATTAGGTAGTCTCAATTGTGATTACGAGAGTAAGAATGATGTTATAGTATTCAAAGTCTACGAAAAAGCTACTCTGTTGTATATGTCTATCTTTCAAAAATAAAACTATTCCCATTTCAAAATTAATGATCTGATGTAAAGTAGTAATTGGAAATATATTTAAACGGATACATCATTCCTCATAAAATGAATACTGTAGTGGCCTACAACATAATATTCAAGTCAAGTAGTTATTGTAAAATTAAAATTATCGCGTGAGAAAATTGATATGACACACGTGATGAAAGTTGAGAATACGTTTTTAGACAGTAAATCATTCTGAAAGGTAAGGTCAAAATTGGAATTGATAGTTGTGAACATACTTTTGAGTGAGTTTTATCAAAGGTCATTATTATTATCAGTTACTATCTGGTAAATTCGGCTCCGCCCAGGGAGACTGAGAGAGGGTTAGTTGGAATTGAAGGATACACTTTTGATTAATAATAAGAGGTCGATGGATTTTGCTTTATACTAATGGATAGCCTCCCCAAAAAAACAAAATTCGAGAATATTTTAAAATGTTTCGCGATGACCTGGGATGTTCCAGAATGTATTGAAATGTTCCAGAATATTCCATAACATTTTATATTACTCCTTTATGTGAATACTTTCAAATGATCTGGAATACTCTTACATGTTTTGAATTGTTCCATAAATTTCCAAAAGGGGAAAAGATTGGGCCCCAGTCCTTTGAAAAGCACTTTTAAGACAAAAACTGAAACTTTTTTTTACAACTAACTATTTGGATCGTTCCACAATGATCTGTAATATTTCAGGACACTACCGCATGACTTCTCTCGAATATTTCTGGAATGCTCTTGAACACTTTCGAATGTTCTAGAATTTTCTAGAGAGCGAATGAAAAGATTGTGAGTTCTAGATTGTGAGCTGAATGAAAGAAGATCGTGGTGAGGATTCAGGAATTGTCAGTCGAATTTTTTGGAATTTGACGAAAAATTATTAATAGCTTTTCCAAACAAACGGAATTGACAGAATGAAATCCGAATCCGAGACTTTGGAGTGTACAACGTTTATTCTGATTTTTAAACTTTGTGATGCGGAAATCATATATTTACTGAATTCTCCATTTTTTATGATGTTCAGGGTACTTCCCGGCATGGAGTAAATTGCCCATAATGACGATGGTTTTGAAATTTTTGCTGAATCTTCGAAACAAACGGGAAGAACATTTTCGAAAAACAAAGTTATGTTTCTTTTCTCTTTCCAACTCATAACATTTTCGAAATTATATTCGTATTTTCCTTTTAATTTTGCTGGTAGCAAATTATTCATCGCAATATTTGCTTGCTCGGTAATATCTGTTGGGGTAGCATAAATTTCTTGACTGTTATCACTCATTTTTATTTTCACGAGATACTGAATGACAGCTTTCAATTGAAACAACTGATTGTTGATTCACGAATATAACTAGATTTATCAGCAACCCAGAAACTGCTGGACAATAGATATACTGAAAATATGATTTTTAATTCGAATTTACAGATAATTTAGAGAGAAAATTCACTGATTTTGGCTTTTGTATGTATTCATGAAATCAAATTTATCACAGTAAATGTTACATATCTCATCATTTTCTAAAATTTCTTACGGCAGTGGCCGCCAATGAATAAGTGTTCATGATTTTTTTTGTAGAACACTTGAAATTATTTCAGATGTGTATCATTTTTGCTCTCAATGGTTGAAATATTCGGAAAACTTGAGACAAAGTGGAACGGGCACAAAAAAATCTTAGTTTTTGATGGAATGCATTGTCATTCAGTAAATCAGTTGTGCATATTGAAAATGCATTTTGAGATGTTATTTGCAATCGGTCGAAAGACATTTTCTGTTATCTCTAAATTGTAAGAGAAATCAACTAGCATAGATGAGAAAATTAATATTGTCGATCCCAAAATGGTACGTTTCATGTCTTGCCAGAAAATTTACCAAATTCGTTTGAGATTGGATATGTGTTTTGTCAATGACCCTGAAGACTGATAATAACGATTCCGAACTTGAATTTCAGGAATGAGGAGGACTACTCGAGAACCATAGCCAAAATGGAAATAGACCAGTTGCAACAAGAACTGAGAAGTCGTATAATGATGAAGGATATGAAAAGCACAATCGCTTGGGCTCTAGCCAATACATCAAAAGTCTATGGTTCTTCCGCCGTTAAAGCAAGACAAGCAAAAAAGATGACCATGTTGAATAAAGTCAAACGTTTCTTTCATCTGAAATAGTATCTAATTTTTATCAAGTTGGTGTTCACACCTATCATAGCATTCAGTATTATATTCATTTAGTTAGTTAATCAAGCTTGGGCATCTTCAAAACATTCATTCGATAATTGAAAACTAAAAATGCAAATTGCACAGTTGAAACATGAACTGAAAATACGAGAAATAGTAAAAAAGTGAAAAAAAAACACCAAAACAGTGCTAAATCCAATGCAAGGTGAAAGTAGAAGATGCCCATGTTATATAGAATCGAATATTAATTGATTATTAACTTGGAAATGTTCATTGTACTTTTTTCACAATAGATAATTTTTGAAGATTATACAGTCTGTTATTTATTAAAATCCTTTCCAGGTTGTGATGTAAACATGTATTCATTCATTTGTATCCAAACAGATCAACGAATCAACGAATATATATANTGAGAATAATATCATCAACATATTTTTTTAAAAAAGGGATTTGAAAGGATAATTTATTCATACACGCTTCTACCAGATCATCCATTACATATTGTGCTAAAATGGGTGAAACTGGGCTGCCCATAGGCATGCCTTGGATTTGTTTATAAATGTTATTGGAAAAGGAAAATACAGTAGAATCATATAAGAACTCTATTGCTTGAATGAATTGAGAAAGAGTTAATTTGCAACACTTAGAGATGTCAATCCAATGTTTGGTAATGCTATTTATGGCTGTGGTGCAAGAAATGTTGTTGAAAAGAGCTTTCGCATCTAGACTAATAATAATGTGGTTGGGAGGTAATTGAAATTCATTGATGAAATTGCAAAATTGAAAAGAGTCTTTGACAAAGAAGTTATTATCATTATTATAAGCAATGGATAAGATATCTGTAATTAATTGTGCGACTCCCCTGTTGGGGCTATTAACTCCTGAAATGATTGGACGGAGTGATAAAATGGGTTTATGTATTTTTGGCAGTCCATAAAATTTATTAATCACTCCATTGTAATTTCTATAAGTCTTGCCTTCATTTTCTGTTAATATGTTATTTTGGACTAAATTGTTTTCATGTATCTCAGAAATATTTTTCATTTTGATTCGGAATATGCTCCAAAACATAGTAAACAACTTTGAGTCACTATATGATTGCTGTTCTCCACCGAAAAGAACTCACTAACGGATAAGAACACCTACAACTGAATAAGAAGAATGTACCATTAACACAGAAAACATACAAATTTCAAAAACAATTTCAAAGCAAACTATATATTTCATGAATGAACGTGACAATAAAAATTCAACAGCGTCTGAAATGTCGAGAAATAGTACAGAATATAGAAAAATCATTTAAAATAAAAAAAAAACACATGGAGTGCCTCCACTGCAGCCTTCTAATATTTTTGTCGACTGAAACTAGAAAAGGTGAGTGAATTTCATTTTATCCTCTACTTGACAAAATCATCGTAATTGTTTTTAGAAAGTGACCGTGATACAGTTCTCTTCAAAAATATAGCGAGTCCTCACATAAAATCGTAAAATGTTTTTTTTCGAAGTGGAATTCAAAAAGAAAAAAAAATAATTATATTTCTTCTTCAGTGAATATTTTTCGTAACTATATCCAAAGATGAAATCACAGCCCAAAAACCTTCTATTGTGTTTTTCTACAGGGTGACTCACGGTCAATTGTAGGTTAGACGTTTCTGGCAAAAAGTCCTAGCAACTTTATGTTTTTGAATAGATCACTCCATATGTTAACACATTTGTTGGCTCGCTCCTTTATTATAATACTTTTTTGTTGGTAATGTCGTATCTGTATCTGTTTTCGAGTTAAAAATAATTTGTGCTGAAATTACTTTCGTTATGAATGAAAGTGGTCAAAATCTCCTGTAATCACTCGATAAATTGCAAGATGATGAAAACTTCTTCAAGGTAATATATCATGTTCCTATACCTGGCAAAATGAAGTCACTTCTAACAAATGTATCATACACATTGTTTTATTAGTGCTGGCAATAAAAAAAACACTATCAGATCCATGGGATTCGAACACAAAATCTTTGGATAACAAGGCAGATGCTCCAACCACAGTAGAATAATACAACCAGAAGGCTCTCTTGCCACGTGATCCGCCCGAGTTGCCGGGGACCTTCTCTTAGGATGAGATTCTCATCCAACGCGTTCAGTGCTGTAGCGTCGAAGGATTCAACGGCTCCACGGGCATCGGAATTAGTTATAATAAACGGTCGGAAACTGATATTGTGTTCAGTTTATTCGCTGTTGTTATTATTTGTTATTATTGTTTTTAGTTTTTGTAGTCGGTTATAAGTAACTTACCACAAAATCTTCTGTAATATCCTCAAATTTTGTTTGAAGTGAAAGAACGAAATTGGTTTCGCACTTCGTTTCAAGGTCACCGAGAACTTTGTGAATTTATGGATTGGAGTTACTGGTTGATTTTCCCTATGCTCCAACTACATACGCCAATGCAAACTATTTGAAATGTGAAAAATGGTTAGTCATGAAGGAGTTTTTACAGTTGGATTGAATACTTCTTCGTTAGTAACTTCACAGTGAATCAATATTACCAATTGCATAAACTGCATGTGTGAACTTTTCTAAATAATTCTTTCTAAGTAGGTGTTCTGATTGAAATGTTTCTATTACAGAGATTTTCAATGACAGTTGTACAAAAAATTATTTTAAAAAAATTTTATTTTGAGTAGCCGTGGAAATATCAAGCTTATGACAGATTTCATCACTTTGTTCGTGTGTAATTAATAATTTCATAAAATAACTTCGTTTGAATAATCGATATTTGCATTCATTTTGGAAGATGTTTTGAAACACCGCAGATAACTATTTGTAAATCACTTATAATAGTAACCAATCTGTTATGAGCTTGATAATTCCACTGCTACGTAAAACTAAAAATCATAAAAAAATAATGTTTCCAGAAGACGTGACTTCATTGAGAAAACTTTATGATTTACATATATTGACATAATATATCATCTTGAGACTTTTTTCATCGTCTTTCAATTCAATTTATTCGGTAATATACGGGAGGTTTCATTTTAAAAAATGAACTTTTGACCACTTTTATACCTAATGGAAATAATAGCAATTTCAGCACGCCCTGTATGATATGGGGTCGATTTCTTGGTGTTATTTGAATATTTTAGTATCCACGTAAACGCTTTTGAATAAAATAATATATCAAGATAAGACATAGTTCACATGAAGAGCATCTCTTTTGTTACTTTTCAATGAAAAACACTAATTAGTCAGTAGTCGGCGAGAGTGCACTACCATTTTTTCAAGGGGTCTGTTGTGACTCGTTTAATATCTCGAAACTATTAGTCAAACGTGAACAAGAGTAATCAACACTTTTATATTATTATCAAGAATCTGCAAACAACCAATAAAATTATCATAATGTCGAGAAATAAATCAATCAACATTCACTTCAGTTTATCCCAAATGAATGCTAAACATCTTCACCATTCATATCTTGACAAAAATGAAGCGTGTTCTCAATTAAATTTTTCACATTATGGAATTTTTCTGGAATAACTTCGTTCAAGCATCTCTTATTCTATTCTTGTTTCAAACAGGAGAAACGGAATTATTCAAACATTGACATTTGTGCTACTGAAACATCATTGTATGCATACTCATGGATACAGTTTGTATCCTGCAGATTCTTTGAATATTCTGAAAATATTCACCAATATACGAATGATCCAATTCTAATGTGACTCATTAAAATTTTGTTGTTCTGAATATTTATTCACGTATTGCTGTTTATGTTATGTTAAATTTTGTATATTGCTAGGAACTTTTTGAAATTTGTTCTAAATCAAATATGTAATGTATCTATAACACATGAAGTGTCATACTAACAGTTTACAATTTATTTCCAGAAAGGAGAGTAAATACGCGAAACTCGTGGCAAGAATGGAAATAATAGAGTTGAAACAAGAGTTGAAAATGCGAGCAATAGTGGAAGATATTGAAGAAGAACGCGCTTTTGAAGCAGCCAATGGAAGAAAGAAGAATATATCGACATTCAATAAAATCAAACGTTCCCTCAACTTGAACATATTCTATATATTAAGTTAGTGTCCACAACCTCATTGCATTTGTATTATATTTAGTTATTCAGTTCAGCTGAAAAAGTTTCATTACATAGTTTCAACAATGGAGAATGGAGAAATGAAATAACACAGTTGATACAAGACTTGAAAATGCGTTCATCAGCAGGAGATATTGGAAGAAGCATATTTGTGCTGCAGCTAATATAATAGAAAAGAAAAAGATGCTCATGTTCGATATAATCAAACGTTTTTCCAATTCAAATCATAATTTGCTTCTCTTCAGAAAAGTTAGTGTTTATAGCCACATTGCATTCGTATTATATTCAGTTGGGTTCAACTTGAAAATGTTCATTGCATTTTTCTTACAAAAATGTGAACATTCTGTCTATTACAAAAAACAAAAAATCAAAGATAAGTGCATAATCCGTCAACAATGTGTCCAAAAAGTAATACATAATATCCGGAAAACTATTCAGAAGACTCAAAAACTCTAATCAAATAGATTATGAATATGAATGGAATTTTATCCCTACACCAAACCGTTATTTCAATACCTCTACACGTGTTTCGATCACTAACTGATCATCTTCATGATGAGGATTGAACTAAATAAACATACAATGTCTTCTTATTCCTATCATACATATACCTCTGCTAGGTACCTGCGACTAAATTGTTTCAAATTATTTTCACAATGTTGCCTTATCTGCTAGTCTTAAATTAATTTTACAATGTGACCTTATCTGGTAGTCAGATAAATCTGTTAATTAAAATATTATTTCTACTATAAGGTATTGGTCCATCATCGATATTCATAATAGTATTGTTTACTTATTTCAACACTCTCGTAGGCATTCAGATGCCTGTTGTAGTTAACTTGTGTAACTAATCTCAATGATCTAAAGCAGGAATGGTTTCGTTGAAATTTCTGCTGATTTTTCTGGTCTTCCATATTTTAGGTGGGGTGAGTGTTTTTCATATATCATTTTAATAGATCTTTCAGTATTTCCATAATATTATCGCAGTCCTCAAATTCAATTTCATAAATTCCAGACTTTTCTGAATTCTCGATTCTGTCATTTGGATTTCTTCAAATGCTCGGTAGTGTATAACTTGTCTTCAATATCACCGTCACACCTAGTTCTTTGGAAATTTCTCTAAAGTTCTTCGTGTATTGGTGGTATGGAACTGAGATATATTTATTTTGGTTTTCGTCGTTTCTGAAAGTCGAGGTTTTGTTC